AAATCTATATTTTTTTTCCTGGAAGAATCTAATTGCCTCTGCCATAGTTGTAGGTAGAACTTTCCTAATGGGCACCAAAGTATATAAACACACAGAATGAAAGGTCACCCTAGGATTTGTGAGGATATGTAATGCCAGAGCAACAAGAACAATGAATAACCTTCAGAAGACTGCTGCATCTCTATAGGTATGCCCAAATGCTGAAGTCAGGAAGAGGTGATGCATGATAAAATCACTTTCACCTTTGTGGCAGAATCTGTCACATCTAATGCTGCCTAGAGAAATATTCCTGCTACTAGATATTCTTTTCACAACATAACCTACAATTTCCCTTTAAATTATCACCTGTTGGTGAGGGTTGTCTTAGACTGGTTCTATTTGGATGCCCAGGCAATTAGCCACTCTGGAAGGAGTGCCTGGTTGTTTTTTAAATAATCCTGAACAGAGGAGGATGATTCAGGAGCCAATGCTTTATCTGGACAAGAAGACAAGTTACTGGTGGTTAAAAAGGGTTTCTCAGTCTGTTTTGGGCCACTTGCGCCTTCAGCTCCAAAAGTTACTGCACTGTGTGTACCAAGTGAGGAGGCCCCTGAGGCAAGTACCAGGCACCAGGTTCCTTTGTCTCTGGGATGAGTGAGAATCTTTGTCTCACCTGGTTTGGGGAAACTGACCTGAAAACTAGAGGAATGCACCTGGATTCTATTATGGTCACTGCTCTTATGGGTATGGCATGGTTTGCCATCTGGATGATTACTTCATTCTGCCACTGTAGACCTGCCTATGGTGGGTGTCTAATCATGCCACCAATGAACACTTGGGTGACAATCTTGATCTGCCTCTGGAATAAGGAGAAGCCTAGGTCCCTTCCTCAGAATCCAATGAATAAAAAAGAGTAGTGGTAGAGAAGGGGGTAATGGAGGCATGTGACCTAGAACTGAGTCTCTGGGTGGTAGCTCTGCTCATTGGTACTATAGAGAGTATGTCCAATTTAAGTTTCATGGGTATCCCTTGTCTTGATGAAGTTGGTACTGAAGGTTTGTTGGCCACAGAGGATAGCATTCCCAATGCAGTTGGTGCCAAAGAAGTGAGAGCTGGTACTAAAAGAAGTATTGATTGAGACATTATTTGTAGGGTATATTTGGCCAAATATACCCTGCTGCAGCTCAGCTACCAGTGAAGAGACACAGTGTGCTTCTCCCTTTTCTGTGTTACACTGAAAACAGCCTTTCATTCCTAGTCACAGGGTGTGTCTACACTACAAAGTTAATTCGAACAAACGGACGTTAGTTCGAATTAACTTTGATAGGCGCTACACAAGTGCTCCGCTAGTTCGAACTTAATTCGAACTAGCGGAGCGCTTAGTTCGAACTAGGTAAACCTCATTCTACGAGGACTAAGCCTAGTTCAAACTTACTAGTTCAAATTAAGGGGTGTGTAGCCCCTTAATTTGAACTAGTGGGAGGCTAGCCCTCTCCAGCTTTCCCTGGTGGCCACTCTGGCCAACACCAGGGAAACTCTATTGCCCCCCTCCTGGCCCCGGACCCCTTAAAGGGGCACGGGCTGGCTATGGTGCCCGTGCCAGGTGCAAGCCTGCCA